GGGCGGGGAAGGGAAAAAGGAGCCATGCTGGGAAATACTCTCCATCACCCCAGGTGCTTTTCCATCCCCTGCCCTCTCCCCTGTGCCTGTCATCCTGGTGAGCGGTGAAGGCCAGCCTGAGCGTGGAGGAGCCCTACATGGTTTCAAGCTGCCTGCCTAATGACACTTTCTACCTCCCCTCCAGTCCCCATCATCCCCGATGTCCCCATCATTGATGCTGAGGGGGGTGAGGACTACGAGAGCTACCTGATGTACAGCACAGATGTGCTTCGGTCTGCGACTGGCAGCAAGCATCCCAGCGTCTCTGATGATTCGGGTATGTTGCTCTGGGTCTTGCAAAGAGTCTTTTTTAACATGAATTTTCCTTAACAGCTTTCAGTAATGAGCTTCACTGCACCTTTCCTCCCCCTGGAGATGGGGAGATTCAAGGCACAGAGCTGTGGGAGATCAGCTTTTCCAAAGCACAGTAGTTGCATCCATGGGAACACTTGACTAGTCACAATGTAAATAAGACCAGTGTCTCCTTGTCTTAGCTGTGAGACAAAGAGAAATCTCATCGTGAGCGGGAGAAAAGCTTTTCATTGCCCCGCCTCGCTCACCTCCTCTTACTGTTGCTGTTTGAATGGACCATGAGAGTTACTGCAAACAAGAGCTGGTAAGATACAGACCCTTGAGTCCCTTGGGAAGCTTAGGGGCTTGGCCAGTCCAACAGGAGGGAACTCACTGAATGGTTGAGGTTGGAAGGGACCTAGATCATCTAGTCAAAACCCCTGCTCAAACAGGGTCACCTAGAGCAGGTTGCCCAGGACACTGTCCAGACTCCCCAAGTGATGGGGAGGCATTGGCCCATGAATCATACACAGGTGGATCCCTGCAGCTCCTGTTCTCTTCTTCAATCCCTTCTCTCTCTGAAAAGGCCTGGTTTCCTAGCTTCCTGTATTGGGACAACAATGAGTATGAAAAGGGGAAGATGGACTGTAATTGAAATGATGGGGCTTGTCAACAGGGTCTTTCCTGGGGTGGGCAGTGGTTCTCCAGGGACTGGGATCCAGGAGCGAGTCCCTCGTCCTTGGAGAAAGCAGAGACAATGGGAATGCTGAGAATCTGAGACAACCATTCTGTGTGCACATCATGGAGCGAGGAGACCTATCCTGAGAAGAGGAGAACAATTGTAGCAGACTCTTCATGATAGGGACAGGCGCGTGGTGGCACTTCAACAGTCGCCTTTGGTCTTGATGGACATAGGGCTGGAACAAAGCCCATGGGGCTAGGGAACCCCATGCGTGTCATGTTCCCTCCGTCCTCCTTCTGCCAGTCACGTGATCGTTGCACTGCCTTATTTCATCAGCTAACACTTGGCGAGACGGGCCGTAAATGGGTGTCATTCCCACTGGTGGCTGCCCTTTCCCCTCCCCAGCAAGCAGCATGAAGATGGTGGGGTTGTCCACTCTGTCCCCTGCAGATTGTGCCAACACCAGTGCTTACATTGTTCCAAAAGGCTCCAGGTGGAAATACGTGCAGTTGCTGGGAGAAGACTTGGATCTTCGTCGCATCACCTGGAAGCTCCCACCTGAAACCATTCCCCGCCTCTCCGGCAGCAGCCACCTCTCCTCAGACACCGAGGGTCTCCTCCGTGAGGAGGACAGTGACGTGGCTACTGGCAGTCTGATGAGGAGTGGGACCCCTCGGCCCCAAGCAGGTGAAGGACATCTCCCTACTGCACTGACTGTCCTGTCTCGTCCTGCTCTGAGCCAAGGAGCCTGCAACTGAGTTCTGCCCCAAACCGTGTCCCCTTCCTCCCCTTGTGTGCCCATCCTCGTGTTGGCGTGATGCACTGTTCACGTGCTGTAGAGTCTGCTTCAAAGCCTTGTCGTGGTCTCTTTGCTCATGAGAGTGTCAAGGTAACCCCCATCTTGGTGTGGACCTGGGAGCCTGCTAGCAAGTTGCTTCTGCACAGAGCTGGACCTTCAAGGCAGGAACAAACTCACATGATACCTGCTAAATACCACCTCCAAGCTGCACATCTTTATTAGGTCCCCTGAGCTTCCAGGGCAGACCGGCTGGACTGTTAAACAGAAATCACTGTCTCATGGGTAGCTGATCTCTTCTGGCCTGCAGGGAGGGGATGGAGATTTGTCAAGGACAAGAACAGCGGAGCAGACTTTGTTTTTCAGATCCAGCTGAGATAGGATCCAGAGTGAGATTTGGAGAAACTGCCTCCGTAAAGGGCTGTTTTTCTTCTTCCATCTTCTTTTTTAACCTGAAATTATAAACTTGTGCTTATGTCAAAGGAGAGATGTGAGAGAACATGGTGAGAACCACCAGGCAGTGCCCCAGTGAGGCCGAGGTCTGGAGTTACCTTGGGCACTGTGGGTGTCTCTGGTGCTGGGTGTAGGGTGAAGTCTTTGTTTACCTGTTTGTTTCCCCCTCACCACTGGGTGATTGTCCCTTGTTCTAGATCTAGCATTCCCAAATGACGTTCCAGAGCAGCTGGAGCTGGGAAGACGCCAAGACAGGGTGCCTCTTGAGGCCTCCTGCTTTTCCTCCTCCTGGAAGCTGGCTGGAGCAGAAGCTCAGTCCACAGTTATGTTCCTCACTGTGTACCCTCTTTCACAGAGCACTTGCTGAATGGCCGGATGGATTTCTCCTTTCCTGGCAGTGGGGGCACACTGACCAGGACAACAAATACAAATTACCACCAGCTGAGCTCACACATGCAGCAAGAGCACAGGGTGATGGGGAGCTCCTCGCTGACTAGAGACTACTCCACGATGCTGATGGGGCATGGTGAGTACTGAGGCGATGGGGCTGCCCTCCTCTTCCACTCTCATGACTCTTGTTAGATCCCCACCCTGCAGCTCATTCTGGGGCGAGGAGTGGGTTCATAGCTAAGGTGGCCAGGACTATGAACCAAAGATCTGGAAGAAGGTCATGTCCCTACCCTTGACTTGCAAGCACTTTGGTAAGGCTACTCTGCTGCCAAACCACTTTGGAAGGGGTCCATAACTTATGTGCAGAGCACTCGGGAAAAGGAGCTATTTCCTTATCCCCACACTGCAAAGCACTGCTGGGAAGACTGCATGTCTTTCCCTCTTACTCTGTCTAGCAGCATGGTTACTTTTCAGCTCCACACGTACACATCAGACTGGCATGGAGAGGAAGTTGTAAAAATGCTCTTCAGATCTGAGCAGAGCCTCCTCCTTGAGGAAGCCATCTCTGTGTAGGAAGCTGCGCTGGCTGAACCTACTCTGATGTCTCCAATGATGTTTTTCTCTTTCTCTCTCTCTTTCTCTCTCTTTCTCTCTCTCTCTCTGATGCCGGCCTGTAGATTACCCAGGGAGACTCCTCCCTCCCATCCATGAAGATGCTAGGAGGACAATCCCACTGTCCCGGGATGTGGGTTTCAGGAGCAGGGCAAAGGTGAAGGGTTACTACCCCAGCACTGGCTTTCGGGACTCTATAATCATGACTGATGGGTCCGCGGGGATTTGCAAGTACATAGGTACAGCTTTGTCCAGTGTCTCATCTTGGCCATGCACCCCATAACCAGCCATGGCACTGGCCGCCTGTGAACTGTTGCCATCCATTGCTCTCCCCAAACTCTCTCTCCATTGCTTGCTGTGTGCTGCACTGATCTCTCTCCTGATCCAAGCTATGCCTCCATCACACCACTTTCCCATTTACAGGTGACTTCAAGTGTGTTTCAACCCATATGGGCTGATTAACGCTCACTGCTGCTGCCATCGTGCTCTAACGAGCTCATCAGCTCATTGTTCCCTGTGCTCTTCATTCCTAACAAGCTTGTTGTTCTCAGTCTTACCCTACAGGTCTTTGGAGGACCGTTGGGGAGAATGTGTGCTCCATACAAGATGTCCCTCTGCAAACTCATTGGCCAAAGCCCCTGTCAGTTAGAGGCTTGAGATCCAGCCTGGAATTGTATCTGTGCCTTGCCCAGAAAGCGGTCTCCAACTCCCCTGACCCCAAGCTTCACCTTCCTGGGAGGCTGCTGTGCTTGATATGAAGCACAGCATGCCAGTGGGCTGGGCTGGGGGGGAATGAGGAGCACCTAGTTTTGGTCCTGACTGCCCCCATCCCCTCGAATGATCCCTGGAGTTGCTGGGCTTCTCCAGCTGTAGGCTAGGGCTAGTCCTGATTCCTTCTATGCCTCTCAGCAGAGTAGGGAGAAGAACTGGGTGAGGAAGAGGTGGCCAATTTGCAAGCTTCAGTGAGGTTCCCAGCTCCCTTTCAAAGCCTGGGAGAGTTGGTTCCTGAACTCCCTCTGTAAATCTCCCTGCAAGAAGTGCCGTCTTTCTGGAGTTGGTACATATGAGATGGGTGCAGACAGTCAGGTCTCTGATGCCTGAGAATGACTAGGCAGCTAATGAAAGAGGAGAGTGGGTGGAGAGTGGTCAGTAGATGAACAACATTTGGAGGCCTGACTGATGGGAGATACCATGTCCTCCAGAGCTCTCTAGCCAGCTTGTGCCCTGCTGTCTGCTTCCCTCCAGTCCAGGCTGGGTACAAGGCCAGTCGCAGGCAGATTGACCCTACTTGCCTCTTCCTCTGCACTGGCAGGTCAGGGCAAAGCCCCCAACCTAGTCCCTGTTCCCCGCTTCCCCAGGCAGCCAGGAGCCACACTCGCTCCAAAGATGTACATGAAGCACTTAGCAGGACAGCACTGGACAGGCTGCTTCAGGATGAGTGTGGAGGGCCATGCACAGCACCTAGGTTCCTGCTCCGGTCCCTCCACCACAGGGGAAGGGGGCACAAAGCTTATCTTGCCTTGTCACATCTGAGAGTGGCAGCCCAAGACCACAGGACCCCATGCCTTGCTGTAGTTGTGCAGGGCTTGCAGAGGGGACGTTTTGCCGCATTCTCCCCAGACCATCAGGATCATCCCACACTTGTGTGTGCTGCTTCCTCCTCTTCCCTGGCCCCCCTAACCTCTTGCCCTCAAATCCATGCCAATGACAGTCCCTTTCTGCCTCAGACTCCAGGATGCCGCTGGGTGTCCCCGACACCCCCACGCGCCTGGTGTTCTCTGCGCTGGGACCCACCTCCCTGAAGGTGAGCTGGCAGGAGCCACACTGTGAGAAGGAGGTGCAGGGGTACAGCGTGCAGTACCAGCTCCTCAACGGAGGTGAGCGAACGCATGACTGGTGCAGGTTATGGCTCAGGCTGGAGAGCTGGCCAGCCAGGGTGGGCGTCTCGGATGGTGGAGAGTCTGTCCCACATCTTTCAGGACTGGTTCTAGCTCTTCTTCTTGCATAGGCTTGAGGGAATGACTCAACTACCCTGCACCTCTCATTCTCCTTTTCTACCAGGGGGATAGTTCATGGAGCTGCTTGTGGAGTCTCCTCTCCTCCTCCAAAAAGTATTGGGCTCCTTCTCTATCTCTCCCCAAAGTCTTACTTGAAGTTTGCTTTTATCATGGTGGAGTTGGAGGAAAGATTGGAGTAAAAATCTTTTATTTTTACACAAAATTTGGGACAACGTTAGTGAAAACCGATTTTTCTTTGGCTGAAAACCCCTGTGATTTCAGGAAGCCATTGTTTGTCCCAAGTTTTTTTGTAGCAGCCTGTGCTACTGGTTGTAGGTGGCAAGGTGTGGTGGAGGTGGCTGGGGGAGGGGCCCCAGATGAATTGCTCCAGCTGTTTTTCCAGGCAGTTTGGGGAAGGATTTAAGCAAAAGCCACAGCTTTGTCTTCGTGCCTGAAACACGGTGCTGACCTCCCCCTTCCCTGCATGTCCCAGGAGAAGTGTACCGACTCACCATCCCCAGCCCTAGCCAGAACTCGGTGGTGGTGGAAGACCTGTTGCCCAACCACTCCTACATCTTCAAGGTGAAGGCCCAGAGTGAGGAAGGCTGGGGCCCCGAGAGAGAAGGCGTCATCACCATAGAGTCCCAGGTGGACCCGCAGAGCCCACTCAGCCCTGTGCCAGGTGAGGAGGACAGGGCATAACGGAAGAGGAGGGTGGCACTGATCTCTGCTGCTGTGTGCAGTGGTGGGCCTTACTGTGTTCTCTCCTTTTACCACATCCTGAGCTCCCCCTTTCTTTCACTTGGAAACTGGACCTTTTCCCCTGTGCACTAGCCTTCTACTAGCTGTGCAGACAGCTGAGACTTTCCAGCTCGTTACATGACTGCTACATGCAGACCCCACCCAGGCTCCTCCTCTCCACCTTCTGTGACATTGGCCTCTCATTTGTGCACTTGCAGGTTCACCATTCACACTGAGCACACCTAGTGCTCCTGGACCCCTGGTTTTCACTGCCCTCAGCCCTGATTCACTGCAGCTCAGCTGGGAGAGACCCCGCAAGCCCAATGGGGCCATCTTGGGCTACATGGTCACCTGTGAGATGCTGCATGGAGGAGGTATGGTATCAGGCTGTGGAAGCCCAGTTCCCTGTGCAGAGAACTAGGTTTCTCCAGCAAAGGCAGGAATTTGCCATATTTTTGCTGCAACCAAACCAAACAAAATTACTGCCACTGCCCGCCTGCTCCAGCCACAAAGTTATCCGCTTACACAGAGCCCACAGAGTGAGGATGTGAGGCTGATTCCAGGTTCAGGAGCTGCTGGACCTTGGTGCTTTGCATTATTGCATGGTCTAGTAAAATAGATGTGGTGGGAAAAGGAAGGACCCATGGTCTAATATAATCCGAGCTCAGTGGAGGTTGGTTACTGAGGATCAGCTTTATACTGAAGCAGGGTTGCTTTAGCAATAGGGCTGGGTGCGATCGTACAGTCTGCGGATGGCATAAAGCTTAGCAGAAGCCAAGTCACCAGCTACAGTTAGGGGCAGCGTGTTTGAAAGGACTGTCACTCCCGTCTGTCTTCAGCCTTGGTATGTCTGTATGGATTAGGGGAGCCCAGGAATATCTACGTTGAAGGAGACAACCCAGAAACCACCCTGACTGTGCCTCAACTGAGTGAGAATGTCCCGTACAAGTTCAAAGTGCAAGCTAAGACCACCCAAGGCTTTGGGCCAGAAAGAGAGGGCATCATCACTATCGAATCTCAAGATGGAGGTACGGTATCACTTCTTTGAAAAAGTGCAAAGCAAAGAAACTTCTCAAAACAAACAAACGCTAGGTGACAACTCCTGGAGTCCCTTTCGAGCTCTGGTGGCAACTCCATTTTCCATCTGCACAACAAAGACAACGTTGTACCTTGTGAGCGTTGTCCCAGTCCAGCAAGAGGCATTGAATGAAGGAGGATTGTGAAAACCTGTCACTATGTAATTTATTATGAATCTCCATGGTTGTACACATCCCTGGAGGCAGCTTTTTGCAGTGCACAGGTCCTCAGTCCTCCCAGTTTCTCCTAAGCCTGGCTTTGATGTCAGCCAGACAGGCCTCACGAGATAATTGTTAGTATTTGTTGGCCAGGGTTGAGATGCTGGAAGTTCCTTGTCATCTCCTGGCTAACTCTTCTCCTTCTCTTCTCCACAGGCACTTTCTCCCAATTTGGAGGGCAGCAGTACATGAGAGAGGAAGTGTACAAATTCCCCGTCGAATACACCACCAAAACCAGCATCAGCCATTCCTCACTGGATCCTCACTTCACAGGTAAGGGCTTTCTGTCTGCTTTGAAACTCTTGGAGAGACCCTCTGTTTGTCCAAAGGCTGGAAGGTGCTTTTACCTCATATGTGGAAGTTGGGGAGGGAGGGTCCATCAAATAGGGATAGAAAAAAAGGAACAGACCGTTTCCAACCCCCTGTCCCTTTTCCACCCCAGAAGGCTGTTGCAGTTGTTTTACTTTGTGCTGCCTGGTTGTAAGCAATGTTGCAGAGGGAACCCTGAGTTTTCAGAGCCCCCCCAGGTGCTATTACTAGTAACCAAACCATAGCTCTTCCTGCAAGGTTAGATCTCTTCAGAAAAGAGAGAACAGAGAAGTATGATAACAGAGAGATAACAGTATCCCATGTCGTCCCTCTTGAGTGCAAGGAGTCATGGGCTTGTGCTGCAGCCTGGAGAGTTTGGGAGATGTTAAGAAATCCATCCATAGCAAAGTACTGAATCACTTGATCTGGGGAGGTTCTCCATCAATGAAAGCGATATTGAAGGAGAAACGTCTGCCATTAATCATTAGGTAGAGCTTACGCTGAGTGCTCTAGCTTCTTCCCAGCCCTATTCCCTATGCTTTTGTGTCTGACCCGGTCCACCCAGTACTTGGCGCAGTGTCTTGACCACTGAGCTTCTCTTGTTGCAGATGGCATGCTGATGACGACCCAGAGAGTGGGGAGCGCCAGCAGCACCCTCACCAAACAGGTCACCAAAGAGTTTGTGAGCCGGACTGTGATGTCCAGTGGGACCCTCACCAAACAGATGGAGAGGCAGTTCTATGAGGCCTGAGCCAGGGGAGGCGGCCTGCAAGCAGGACAGTGCCGTTCAGACTAGCAGAACAATCCAAGGGCTGTTCATGCAGACTCTGCCATGGTGCCTGGGCAGCTCCTCCATGTGGGCAGAGACCTTCCATGGCACTTCAAGCTCTGGACCTCTCCTTTAGAGCCCAGTGTGCTCAAAGCTCTGCACAGCTGGGTCATCAGGCTGTCTGGACAGCCTGGGATCTTTTCTGCAGAACCTACAGTGGGAGGTCTTCCATGAGTTATCACTGCTCACTCCAATACCATCCCTCAGTGCCCAGCCACCCAAATACACCTGCTACTGCAGAAACTTCAGATGTCTCAGTTGCTCTGGCCTCCCCAAATGAATGGAATAGAACAATTTATTCTTGGGTCCTCAGTTTTGAGAGGATCCCAACTGATTGCATCCAAATACATCCTGATTTACGGAAGGTCACAGTTTTCATCTTTTCTCTGGGCTTTCTGGAACATCTTCACACCCCTGGGGTCTGCTGTGGGGACTGGGCCACGCTGGGCTTTGGTTGGGGCTTGCTTCCACCTTCTCCCTGTGCCATGTGGCAGTTTGGGTTTCCCATCTCCCTGCTGTTTCCTGTTCACTTCAGCAGTGGAAGGCTGCCCACCAGAGTTGGTTATTTGTTTTGTTTTTGATATGAGAGCTGCAAGATAGAGGTTTGGGGTAATCTATGCTTTCTTACTGCACTTTCTTGACTCTGCCCTTTGCTGTTAACATTTGGTACCACAATAGCGAATTGCAGCCTTAGATTTGTATAGCATTACTCACAATGGCCTCTAATGTGGTTTCTGCAATATGATATTGTACAGTTTTTCTAGTATATATAAAAATGTATTATTTTATTAAAAAAATGGAGGTGGATGAGACCTACACTGAAGGTTGAGGATACACTGGGACTCTGGCTCTCTGGCTGCTGAGAAACATTAATAACTGTAAGAAATCAGTTAAAGGGCTTGATCCAAAGGCTTCTAAACCCCATGGAAAGCCCCGCTTTGGCGCCGACATTCCCCCAGCATTGGAGACTACAGCAGACTACTGCAAGCAGATGTATCTGCTCAGTGCACAGCACCCACCAGCTCAGCTCTCTCTATCCATAGCGCACGCTCGCAGATGGGCTGAGAGCTGCTTGGAAGCAGGGGAAGAGAATGGCTCAGTTAACAGTGCTTGGAGAAGTACTGAAAATGGGACCAGTGCATGGGGGTTTTTTTACAGTACTGACTTGGAGCGCATGAGATTTGGACAGAGAATGTCGGCTAACTTGTAAAAGACCTTTTGCCCAATAGCAATGTCCAAAAAGGGCTTTGTGAACTGCTCGGTGAACTCAAGAGGAGTATGAGACTGGGAACAGCAGTGTCTCACTTGTCCTTTTGAGCGAATGTGTCTCTCTTGGCCCCTCTTTCAACCCTTGGCTTTAGCCACTCTTGGACTGTGCTGGGTGCAGAGCTGAGCTAAGACTTTGCTGTGCCTCATTGTGTGGCTTTGGGCAACATGCCTGGCTTCTGCTGACCCTCTGCCAACAGAGAACAATTGGACCTCGTGTCTTAATGAAAAGCAAGTTTCCCTGGACTGCTTCAACTGCATTGGAGCAGGCAAGGAGCCTCCCACTAAGGGATCCTGCCCGAAACGGCAGCTGCCACCTTTCTAAGCTAGAGCTTCCACCCAAAACAGCAGCTGGTTGGTCTCCTGGGCAGCATTGCCTATTTGGTTTGACCTTTTTTTCCTTTTGGAACCAGAGGAAGAATTTCCAGCACGGACAACATCAACGGCTCCCTCCCCCCTCACGGCTGTTCATTTTAATGGGAAGGTTTTTGCATGTTTGAGCCAAACCTGAACACAGGTGAGTAAAGTCCACAGAGGTCACTGAGATAGCAACTGGCGCTAGGTCAACGGAGATACTTCAGCAAACCTGTGGTTCTACTGTGCTTTCAAGAAGCACTTAGCTCCCCGAGCAAGTACCAATGGCATTACCCTGACTGCCTTTAGGTTCCTGTCTCCTCCTCGTTTCTCCTGGGAGTATTTCCAGCTGATGTGCCTCTTCCTGCCCTCAGGCTCTGTGACCCTTTCCCTGTGCTTTGTGGTACCAGCTAACACACTGATCGCAGCCTCAAATGGGAGCCCCATTTCCAAGCATTTTAACCAAAGACTATTTTCTTATCCAAGAGAAGAGAGCACAGCTCATCACTGCTCCTGACGGTAGTGTCACCCGGTCCCTAAACAAGCAAGCTGGCTGTGCACCTAACCGATGCATCGCGCTCAACGGTGTCACTTTTTAATTTCTCATCCGGTCAGGAGGCTGTTGGTGCCTCAGCCTTTCCAAGGGAGGGCTGGCAGAATGCTCTAACAGCAGGTCTTTGATCAGGTGGCTTCCTATTGCACTCAATAAATGTTTTTCTCTACAGTCTGCCTGTTCCTTTTTACAAAAAACACCGGCCCCCTCATAGCTCCAGCTGCACCAGCAGATGAGGGACGTGTGCCACAAGAAGACACACAAGTGGGGCCTTCTGCCAAGTATTCAGTGCCTGCCACTCCTCTGCCACCATCCCCTCGTGTGATTGCATCTCCGCGGAGGCACCACGTGTGCCTGGAGGTGCTTAGTTACACCAGTATGAACTGGCGTTGCCTCCTTTGAGGAACGCTCCCAAGTTCATTTGGTGTCACAGCGCTGGGCTGAGGTGGCTCAGGCAGGAGGCAGAACTGCTGTGCAAATGTTTAATTTTTATTAGACAGACGATGCGGTCACAAATTGATTCCCCTGCAGACTGAGGAAAGCAGCTGCCACTGATGTCCTCAGAGATGATCCCGGCCCAGAAAAGGTAGGTGCTTCTCTAGAGGGGCTGCACCTTCGCCCCGCCAGAAGGTTTGGTGATGTAGAAGGTTGCTGTGCCGCTGTATTTCGCCTAGGAGACAAAAGGAGTTTAAGCGTTGGCGATCCAGGTCTGTAACACGCTGCAGCAAGGGGCCAGGCCACGAGGCTGCGTTCAGGCTGGCCGCAGGCACGCAGGACCTGCTGAAAAGGCCTGCAAGAAAGGCCCCGCCCGGCCAGCCAGCAGCTCCAACAGCGGCCACGGGCGATGCTGTTTGGGGAATATGTGCAAGCCTGGCCTGTGTCCCTTCATATGCCTTCTGCATCTGTAGCATCGCATTGGGGGGGTGCTCTAGGATACATCCCTGAATAGACACTCCCCCCCCCCCACCCAAAAAAAAAAAAATTAGCCCTTTAAGGCTCTCCATGCCTTTCCTTAATCCCTTTTGGACTTGCCAACACTGCCAGCTCCCCAGCATCCCGTGATGGCAGGAAATTCGCTACCGGCTCTGGGAAATACTTCCCTTGCTCTGTTTCTAACAGCTCTCCTAACTCCTGTAGTGATCACAAGTTTTTGTTTGGGAGGATTTCACCTTCACCACCATCTTCATGATTTTTGTGAGTCTTGATCGTGTTTCTTCTCCCCCGCACCCCAGCCTTCCCCTTGAACCAGAGTGGCCCAGCCCTTTTAGTCTCTCGTCCTGCAGCAGCTGCTCCACCCCTGCATCATTTCCCTTACCTTCCTCTGCCCTTTTTTTGAACTGCACTATGGGTGGGCGCATCCTCGCTTCATACAGCAGCAAAACGAGGCTCTGCCTTGTTTGCCGCCCTCCCTGCTGACACCCCCAGATTTTGCTGGCCTTTCCGGCCACCGGCACACACTGAGTTGCCCGTTTCCAGGGATGTTTGATGACAGCGCCAAGATCTTTCCTGAGCTGTTAAGTGCCAGCATCGAGTTCAACATTGCAAACGCTGGGCTTATTGTCCTCGAGCTCCGCCGAAGCTCCCCTGGCACCTTTTTGCTCACATCCTCAGCTGAGTGAGGTCCTTCTGCAGTTCTCTGCCACCCACGCAGTGTTTAATGGCCTGAAAGAGCTCGGTAGCCTCAGCAAACTTGGCGATATCCCCGCTCATCGCTGGATGGGGCACTTGTCCCGCTGCGAGCCCGTTTCCCTCTGCTCCCGCTAAGGAGAACCGGAGCTCCGCATTAGTGGGGAGGCCAAGCGGGAGGGCTGTGGTGGCCGGAAGGCAGCAGGCTCTCGCCTACCTTGATGTGCTGCTGGGCCCTCTCTGCAGCCCCGGCCTCCAGCAGAGTCACGGTGCAGCCGCCGAAGCCTCCCCCCGTCACCGCGCCCGTAACCCCCGTCGCCCTCCAGGCCTGCCGCTACCAGCTCATCCAGCTCTGGGCAGCTGACTTCGTAGTCATCCCTGGAGGGACGAGACCTCCAGTCAGCCCTGTCCCGAGGCCGGGCAGGGTATTGCTCCGGCTGCCCCGTTTGGGCTCCCGGATATCACGTCGCAGGGTGCGGGCACGTCAAACGCTGCAGCGACCCGAGGCCGGTGCCCCCGACGCAGCCTGGCCTGCCCGGGGGCTG